AGCAAATAATTTCATAAGTTCATCCATCTTTCCACTCAAAATATTAATTTCTTCTATCACATGCACCTTTTTATTAGTAGATCTTTCAGTATGCCATTGAGAATAATTAAGCATAATATTATCTAGGAGTTTAGTAGCTTCTCGTAAAGTGATTTTCATAAAAGTGCCTCCCACGGCCGAATCTAAAAGATTTCTAGAAGCAAAATTCAATTCGGCATAAAAATTTTGTATAATCATCCACAAATTCAAACCATGAGTAGGGCAATTACGTATCATTAATTTCATCCTCTCCCAAGCTTGTGCAACATGTTCATGATCAAGTTGCTTAAAATTCATAATATCGTTTCTAAGGGAGATGATCTTAGCGGGAGGAAAATACTTAGAGATAAAAGCATCTTTGCACTTGTTCCAAGAATCAATACTATTTTTAGGCAAAGAAGAAAACCAAGCTTTAGCACGATTTCTAAGCGAAAAAGGAAATAGCTTCAATTTAACAATATCATTATCCACATCTTTCTTCTTTTGCATATCACACAAATCAACGAAGTTATTTAGATGGGTAGCGGCATCTTCACTAGGAAGGCCGGAAAACAGATCTTTCATGAAAAGATTCAGCAAAGCGGCATTAATTTCACAAGATTCAGCATCGGTAAGAGGAGCAATCGGGGTGCTAATAAAGTCATTGTTGTTGGTATTGGTAAAGTCACACAATTTAGTGTTATCTTGAGCCATCATGACAAGCAAGTAATCCAACACACAAGCAAACAAAAAGCAAGCGGGAAAAAAGATGCAAATAGAGAAAGAGAGGGAGGATAGAGAGAGAGGGTGAATAAAACGGCAAGGGTGAAGTGGGGGAGAGGAAAACGAGAGGCAAATGGCAAATAATGTAATGCGGGAGATAAGGGTTGTGATGGGTACTTGGTATGTAGACTTTTGCGTAGACGCCAGAAATGGCTCGTTGTTGGAAGTCAAATCTTGACTTACGCGAACCTCACCGGCAACGGCGCCAGAAATTCTTCTTGCTACCTCTTGAGCATTGCGTTGGATTTCCCCGAAGAGGAAAGGATGATGCAGCAAAGTAGCGTAAGTAGTTCAGTTTTTGAAAACCAAGGTATCAATCCAGTAGGAGGTTGTGCGCGCGTCCCTAGTACCTGCACAAAACAAATAACTCCTCGCAACCAACGCGATAAGGGGTTGTCAATCCCTTCACGGTCACTTACGAGAGTGAGATCTGATAGATATGATAAGATAATATTTTTGGTATTTTTGTGATAAAGATGTAAAGTAAAATAAAGGCAAAGTAAAAAAGCAAAGGAAATAACTAAGTATTGGAAGATTAATATGATGAAGATAGACCCGGGGGCCATAGGTTTCACTAGTGGCTTCTCTCAAGAGCATAAGTATTCTACGGTGGGTGAACGAATTACTGTTGAGCAATTGACAGAATTGAGCATAGTTATGAGAATATCTAGGTATGATCATGTATATAGGCATCACGTCCAAGACAAGTAGACCGACTCCTGCCTGCATCTACTACTATTACTCCACTCATCGACCGCTATCCAACATGCATATAGAGTATTAAGTTCATGAAAACAGTGTAACGCCTTAAGCAAGATGACATGATGTAGAGGGATAAATTCATGCAATATGATAAAAAAAACCATCTTGTTATCCTCGATGGCAACAATACAATACGTGTCTTGCTGCCCCTACTATCACTGGGAAAGGACACCACAAGATTGAACCCAAAGCTAAGCACTTCTCCCATTGCAAGAAAGATCAATCTAGTAGGCCAAACCAAACTGATAATTCGAAGAGACTTGCAAAGATAACCAACCATAGATAAAAGAATTCAGAGAAGATTCAAATATTGTTCATACATAATCTTGATCATAAATCCACAATTCATCGGTCTCAACAAACACACCACAAAAAGAAGATTACATCGAATAGATCTCCACAAGAGAGGGGGAGAACATTGTATTGAGATCCAAAAAGAGAGAAGCCATCTAGCTAATAACTATGGACCCGAAGGTCTGAGGTAAACTACTCACACTTCATCGGAGAGGCTATGGTGTTGATGTAGAAGCCCTCCGTGATGGATGCCCCCTCCGGCGGAGCTCCGGAACAGGCCCCAAGATGGGATCTCATGGATACAGGAAGTTACGGTGGTGGAATTAGGGTTTTGGCTCCGTATCTGATCGTTTGGGGGTACGTAGGTATATAGGAGGAAGGAGTACGTCGGTGGAGCAATAGGGGGCCCACGAGGGTGGAGGGCGCGCCTGGGGGGGTAGGCGCGCCCCCTACCTCGTGTCCTCCTCCTTTGTTTCTTGACGTGGGGTCCAAGTCTCCTGGATCATGTTCGGTGAGAAAATCACGTTTCCGAAGGTTTCATTCCGTTTGGACTCAATTTGATATTCCCTTTCTTCGAAACCCTAAAATAGGCAAAAAAGCAGCAATTCTGGGCTAGACCTCCGGTTAATAGGTTAGTCCCAAAAATAATATAAAAGTGGATAATAAAGCCCAATAATGTCCAAAACAGTAGATAATATAGCATGGAGCAATCAAAAATTATAGATACGTTGGAGACGTATCACCCCTCCACCATAATCCACCTCGGTCATATCGTCGTAGTGCTTAGGCGAAGCCCTGCGCCGGTAGCTTCATCATCACCGTCATCACGCCGTCGTGCTGACGAAGCTCTCTTGACACTCAGCTGGATCAAGAGTTCGTGGGACATCACCGAGCCGAACGTGTGCAGATCGCGGAGGTGCCGTACTTTTGGTACTTGGATCGGTGGATTGTAAAGACGTACGACTACATCAACCGTGTTGTCATAACGCTTCCGCTTACGGTCTACGAGGGTACATGGACAACACTCTTCCCCTCTCGTTGCTATGCATCACCATGATAGATCTTGCGTGTGCGTAGGATTTTTTTTGAAATTACTGTGTTCCCCAACATCTAGGCCTCATCTTCATGTCTGTGCCACGACCACACTCATCTTTATGGCCAACATTGACTTCATGCCTATTCTCTTCTCTGTGTTAGCATTTTTTCATCTCATTTCTAGCCATAATAATTGATTTTAGTTATTCTCCCATATCAAACAAATGAGTTATAGCCACTATAATTGATTGGTTATGCATAAATACAAAATATGTAGCTAACCAGCTTCGATTGCTCGTCGTCCCATCTGTTTGCAAATGAAGGCGAAGATAGAGATGCAAGTTCACATGGGGAAAACCGCTTCAGCCAAAGAGACATGGCGGCTTCTAGATTGGGATAACTTGGTTAGGAATTATACTTGGTCTCATAGGATTTTCTCCACTTCACATGTGCATAAAGCCATAAACATAGGAACTCCAACGACCTCAGCAAATGACTCATCATGTGAAATTGTCATTCCAATGGCAAGAGCAAATAACTCAGCAAAAACTGTCTTTGAATTCCCTCTCCTACATTAGGCTTATCTCTCGGCCTAGGAATAGACCGTCCATCAGGTCAAAACCCCTCTCACCGCATTCCTTCCGCGCCTGCCAGGAGGGTTCCTATACCAAGCCCATTGTTGCACTGCGCCGATTCCTCTCATCGCGGCGTTGTCAAGCAAGGTTTGTCATGGACCTCTACTTTCTTCCTTTGTGCCACTGGCATCCCATTGCATATGATGTTGTCCCCTCACCATTCTGTAAGAGGAGGTGGGGCGGTGGCGAGCCATGGCGTGAGAGGAAGGATGTCGTGGAAGCTGTGAGGAAGAGGGCATGCGATGCAATAGAGTGGGGAGAAGAGGTTGTGAGAGGGGAAGGCGCGAGGGAGATAGAGGTCGTGTGAGAAGAGGGCATGCGATCGAAAATATCTATCTCTTAGGTCTCAGCCATGTCAAAGGAGGTTGTCGTGCGTTGATAGTAGGGCAACAGAAAGGTGTGGGAGGCCATGAGCAGCGCCCATTTGAGACAAACTGCCAGCCACACAGCTCTTCCCCATGCAGAACGGGGTGCGTCTCATCCTGACGAAAGCATCCACGCCAATCCCTCTAGTCTACATATCAAGGGCAAGTGAGGTGTCGTGAAAGGCAATGCAGCAGGCGACCCGTGACTGGAAATATTAAATACACATGACAAATCAAACACAAATTATGTTTTTGCCCGGATGGCAATTTCTTTCCGCAAGCATGTCAAATACCGGCAAAAAAAACGACAAAGATTTATCATGCTTGCTAAAAAAATTATCATCCTCGCAGCAATAATTGGCCATACTATAGTTCGGACGTTTGATTTGTATAGAAATCTAGAAAAAAAAACCCAGCACGTGCTGATGCTGCCAGTCTACTGGCGTAGTAGGAGCAGCAGAGTGTAAAATAGTGGTAGTCTACATCGAAGGGTACGTGAGGTGTCGCGAATCTCAAGGCAACAGACGGAGCGGGCGACCCGTGAGTGAGAGACAGCGACCGCCAACGGCGCGCGCATCCACCCCCTCCGACAAACAACCCCGCGCTGTCACGGAAACTCCGCCTTCGCTGTCAACGTCGCCGCTCGCCCCCTTCCCCGCTCCCCCTGACCGGCTGACCCGGCCTGAGCGCGCGTGTGGCCACTGGACCGGACCAGCGGCGCGGAGCCAGCAACCACCGCCGCATCCTCCCTCCCCGTCCCGGACGCTCCTCCAGCAGTTTCCTTCCTGCTGATTTTTTCTTCTTCCTCTCGTTCTTTCCAACTGGCAAGCAACCGCCCCTCCCCCCACCAACGAGCGAGCGAGCGAGACGGGGCAGCCAGAGCGAAAGCAGCCGCCTTTGCTGCAAAAGTGCGCCGCGCACTGCTGCATCCCTCCCCCTCTCCCTCTCTCTCATAGCGCCTTCCTCTGGTTCCGCCGCACTCTTTTTCGTTTCGGTTTCCCGCCCCTGAAGCCCCGGCGAAATTTGAGACGCGGGCCAAGGCGCGGGGCGGCACCGCTTCCCGTCCTCGGCGGCGCGGAGGCGGACGGCTGCGTCTGGCTCCGCGGACATGGCGCCGGCGCCGGCGGCTGAACAACCCGTGAGTTCTTCGCCCCTTCCTTCTTCTTTTGTTTATTCCTTCAAAAAAATTCTCCCCCTTCCGAGGAACAGCAGCAGCCGCCGCCATTCTTCGCCGGTCAACCACTGCCTTCAGTTTACTCCACTTCTTGTATGATGATTTCTTGATTAATTAACGAGCACATAGCCCGGGGCTTAATTAACTGCTCGATAGGCTCCGCAGATAATCTTGTCGCAATCTTGTACCAGTAGCGTGTTAGGTGTAGCTTAAACCACAAAAAATGGAAGATACTAGTAATAACCAAGTACAGAAAACCAAGCAATGAGCAGTCTGACTTCAAACCCTGTCATCCTAACAGTTTGGCTCCAAATATTCCTCATCCTAACACAGCCGCCTCTGCTTCTCAACTGCATGTAGACTATGGAAGGCTCATGGGCTGCATTTTGCTTTGCTTGGCAGGCAGCTGCCGCTACCACTATATCTGTGATTTGTTTGCCTTGCTTGGCAGGCAGTTGCCACTAGCCCACAAACACTCTGTCGTTGGTTTCTTTATTAATTCGAATAAAAACACTAATATTTGATTATTATCTTCACTGTTTGCGATAATGGTCCGACCTGTCGTAGACTAACAAATTCCATTGTTTTGTCATCTTTCTGCAGTTGGAGCATGAGCTGCAACAAGAGCTCTCCGGCATCATGATCCATGGCTACATTACCGGTCTGCGCCGAGAGTTCGAGACGAAGCTATGTGAGAATCACAACCGTATCAGCACACTGAGCAAGAGCTGCAAGGAAAACCTTTCCGAGGTCGCCGCTCTACGAGATGAACTGACCGGCATCCTGACCGATGTGACAGCTTCAGAGTCCAGCCTGCTCCCTCCCCACAGCAGTCTCGAGAAAGCAGAGGAGACGAACTCCCTGAAGATGAAAGATGACAATGACATTCCGGACTTTTCGCTCCTGAAGCACCTGCGCGGCGAAGAGATCACGACGTTTTTGAAGTCTGAATGGCTCAAGCTGCGAAGGGAGCACGAGTATGAACTGCAACAGACGACTGAAGAGCTGTTCAGGCTGAAAAGGCATTTTGCAAAGGATGGCGCTGTGTTGCCTTTTAGGAAAGAGAGAGAGCTTGAGCTCATCAAATCAAAGCTGCTTCAGACTATCTCCAAAATGGATGGCATTATCTCGAGCAAAGAGGGCTCTGGCTCTCATTACAATGAGGATGATGAGCTATGCAGATTGAAGGACAGAATTGGTTCTCTGCTCGACGAAAATGAACGTCTCCGAGGTTTGCTGTCTGACAAAAGAAAGGAGGCTAAGCAGCTCTCTGCACAAGTAGTCGATGCACAGAGCGATGTCCCGCGCCACTCGCTCTCCGAGTCAAAACTCAGCAATCAGCTTGAAGACCTGAAGATTGAGAGCCACTTGAAAGAGCTATTGGAACTGTCTATATTAAGAGAAGTTTTTGGCAGTTATGAAAATCAGATTGATGATCACAACCAGGAGGAGTGCTTCCTCAGAGAGTTGCTTATGGAGAAAGAAGAGCGGTTACTTACCATGTCTGGGGATAAACGTAAGCTCAAGTATGAAAATGACCAGCTTGTATCTATTGTAGGATCAAAACTGGTTCAGCATCATGAGGAATTCGACTTGGTTAATGATGAGCTTACGATGTTCAGGGAGAAAGTGTGCGAGCAAGAGCTGCTGATCTTGGAGTTCAAAGGCGAGGCCAGCTCGATGAAGAGCTGTCTGGATGAGGCCATCCAGCAAATCCATGTGTGCAAGCAAGAGATAGTTGGGCTGACTGAAAGCTTAGCTTCCATGTCTGTTGCTTTGGAGGAATCAAAAGAGCAAAATGCCTTGCTCGACGCGACTATCTGGGAAATGAAGAGAACAGCAGCGCCACACACCGACGGTCATATAGGAGATGATGCAGGCTCCCTAGAGCAATTCACCCTTGTTAGTATGCAGAAATTGTCTAAAGCATACAGTGATTTCGAAAGCAGATTAACGCAAAGTATGAAGCAAAATGATATAAGGTGCGCAAATTTGTTAACACTCATTCCCCAATGTTTTGCTGTTGCTGTTTATTTAATTAAAATCGCACCTTCTCAGCAAGCTCACTTCACCAGAGTATGCAAACATATTCTAAACATATGCACGTTACCGTTCCAAAAAAAAACAAAAAAACATATGCATGTTACTGAAGACTAGCATCTTAGTCACACTCTGTCTATTTCATATTTCCTAATGCACTGGCCATTTTTTATAATTTTGTGCAGGTTGACTAGAATAATTCGCCAGTTCAACCCACTGGTGCAGCAAGTTGCTGTACTAAAGAAGAAGGAATTCTGGTATAAACAAATACTCGAGATTAAATGCTCGAATCTTGAAAAAGCAGAAGCTGAGGTTAGCCTTCTTTGCGTCGCTTCATTTTGCTTTTGGATTGGTTTGAGTTCTAAAGTGACGTGTTCAACAAAATTCCAAGTAATTTTCAAAGTTGGGACTTAAGTAAAGGAAGAATGGTATCTCAAGATTACATTTCTCTTAGAGAAACACATGATGCTTGTTTTGCAGTCCACCCAAATAAAAACGTGGTTCTGGAATCTAGACAAGATGGAGTGAATTTTTAAATCTAAATGGGACTTCTCCATTTGTTAACTATCCATTTTCTGTAGGTGGTGATATGATTCATAATTGTTTTTCTAATGTGATTCAGGTTGATGTACTTGGCGATGAAGTTGAGACCCTCTTAAGTGTTCTTGGTAAAATCTATATAGCACTTGACCATTACTCTCCTGTCCTGAAGCACTACCCTGGGGTAAGAGCATTACTGCATAAATATCCATGGAACTAGTCCTGCACTTTTTGTTTATAATATGTACATGTAGGTTTTGGGGTGAAGGTTCTACAATTCACAATCGTTTTCCACAATTACCGCAGGTGACCGAGATTCTGAATGTAGCTCATAAGGTGTTGAAAGGAGAAAGTATTGAGCAATACAACACTTTGTTAAAACATTAACATCACAGATGTTGACTTGCAGAGATCCTGAGAATAGCTTCGGGCAAGTTTTCGCAGAGTGACTTAGAGGAGGAAAACGAAGATATTAACTTATAGATATAGTTGCAGTCAAAGTAGTAGACAGCATTATTCGATTGCTAGTGTGACCAGGGTTATTATCTCTTTTCTTAGGTTTCATTTGTATCATATCAGTGTGCAGTTTGTAGTTGTCGATACAAATCCATAGGGTTTACTGGTATTCATTATAGCTTTTAGTTTGGGTTGTGGGTGCACTATTTCTCTGTTTTCTGAGAAAATTGGGTGATTGATTCTCTGCTTGCAGCAAGGCAGCTTGATATAGTCCTAGTAGCTTATATTGTCAGTGACTACTATGTATAAGTCAGTCCTAGTTTGTATTGTATTGGCTACATTTATGTATCTGTAAGTTGTAACTAGTGCAGATTTTTCCCAGGGCTACCAGTGCAGTTTTCTGCAGTCAATTTTTCTAATTGAAAAGAGTATGAATTGTATTAGTGCCAACCTATTAATGGAAGCATTTGGCCAAATTTGTCTCACCATCTCAAAGGAGAGGATGCGTAAACTCATGATGGATTCTTGGCATGAATATAAATCCACTGCAAATAAACTTATAAATAATCCAACCAACAACAAAATAGAATAAAAATATTAATGTAATTTGACAGACTTGTATTGGTACTATCGGTGCATCAAAAAAAAAAACCTCTGACCTCATGAGGCCAAGACCCCATATTCGCTTTGAAAGTGAAAAGGGTGAGGTGCCTACAAAGTACACACAAGACTTGCACCGATTATTGGTCAGAGAGGTCTTTATTTTATCGCGACAAGAGCACGAAACTTAATCACCAACACGCAAAATGTTAGCTAGGATTAGTCTATAGACGATTGCACACCACATGGTTTAAATTATTTTCTGGATTTGTGAGGCGACATCAGGATCCAGGTCACCATGGTTCGCGGGTCAACTCTTTCGTTCTCGGACGCCATCACCGGGTAAAATCCTGTGAATCAGGACAATTAATTAGGCTATAAGTACCCAAATTACTACTAGTGTCTTGAGTTTGTCCTGAGGAAGATGACTGACCTTGCGGCGCCGATGAATATGAAGAGGAAGGATGTTGAGGTGGTGGCCAGCCATGGCTTCTCCATCTTCCTTGATCCTAAGAGGATCAAACTAGAGCTGCTGCCTCCATATGGCATGGTAAGTAGTATCCTCCTCATAGCATACAACTTTGTTTCATGAGTTCTAGTTAGATTGGTAGTAAAGAACATATTAAGACTTGGGCGCCATAGTTCGTTTATGATGCCAAGTTAGGAACTGGCAGTAATTGACCTGGATAGTTAGCAGGTAATTAGCAGTGGTGGTACCATATCAGATCTAAGATGATCCTAAGAACTTCTTGGCCTTATTGGATCAGTACACCCAATGGTTGATTAAGTCAACCACATGACAAACATACCAAGATTAACTCGATTCGTTTCGTGATATAAGCTTGCGTTTAACTCGGTCCACTTCATGTGATAAGCTTGCATTAACTCATCTCAATTTGTTAGGATGGCGTGATTCTCGACATGATGGAAGATGAGGAACCACCGGCACATGCTCTAACTAGTGCACCAACCATTGTCCATGACAAGGTGAACATTGTATCTGGGGGCAAATCTTCAGAGCGACCACTCAAGAACAGTGAAGAACAGGACGCTGCTGCAGCGACGCCGATGGACGTCGAGGCAGAAGCCCAGCAACACCAGCCATGCCGGAATGCTCCTTTCTTTTCGGGTTAGTGACAATCATCTCAATTGTTAACATTGTTCATGGGAAAACAAAAAAGACGGCATCATCTTGTTGTTTATGTACGAAATAGCCTGGAATATATTGAATTCTAGTAGCATGTGAGATGAAAGATATTTTTTAGCGAATTAAATTATGAATGTCCTACGCTTGCAGGTTTCTTCTGACTTCCGAGTGGCACTTCACTGAATATTGTGGTGTAAGCATGTGACCAGCATATAGATTGATCATGTCCATTTCATGCAGTGTAATGCTAATCTTTAGTACCACCTGGACTAGTAAATATTGTTAATGTATATCTTTTGAACTATTTAATGTTACGTATTAATTTATGGGTCCCTATAGTTGTTCATCTAAGATGATATCGTTAATATTTTGTTCATGTTCTCCCTCCTCCCGTCATTTGTTTTGTGGCTGTCTTTTCGGCGCTTCAGGCGCTGGTTACAGTGCAAACTGTAAAGCGTTGCCTGAATGAATGTTCGCTACACTAACCACCCCACCCACATCACGTGAGGCGTTTAGTTACACCTTTTCTCTTCTTACTTCTTTCCTTTTTTGTTTTTCTTTATTTTTGATTTTTCCTTTTCTTGTTCCTTTCTTCTTTTTGTGGAACGGTTTTGTCCATTTTTCTTATTCTTTTTTCTTTTTATATTTTATATTTTTTATCTTGCTAAATACACGAATTTTTCAAATTCGTGTTTTTAAAAAAATCAATGGTCTTTTTTTCAAATTTGTGAACTTTCTTTTCAAAATCAACGAACTTTTTTCTCAAAATTGCTGATTTTTTTTTCAAAATTGATGAACTCTTTTAAAAAAATGACGAATTTTTTTCAAAATCTTGGAACTTTTTTAAAGTTGATGAATTTTTCCCAAAATCATTAAACTTTCTTAAAATTTGATGAATTTTTGTTTACAAATCCATGATATTTTTAGTAATTCATTTTTTTATTTGTGTGTTTTTTTTCAATTTCGTGAACTTTGTTAAACCCACGAACATTTTTTAATAAAAACATAAACTTTTTTATTTCACGAACATATTCAAAATCGTCAAAAAGGCGGAGCCTGTCTTTTTCCTAAACCAGCAGCACAACAGAGCCAAAAAAAATGCCAGCCAGGCGAGTTGATAGAGCGAACAATTTTTGTTTTTTGAGCGAGCGAGCGAGGGAGCGATTTTTAATGGACCGCGGCCCGCTGCTGTTCGCGTGAGCGTAGAAACAGCTCAAAGTTTCTCAAAAAAAAAAAACAGCTCAAAGAAGGTCGCCCTTTCGGTGCCGCTTCTCCAACGGGCGCCAAAATAGGAGCTCCCTGCTTTCTCTGCTTCTGTCCATATGTTTTGTGTTCCGATCTGGGCTTTTCTTTTGTCTTTGCTTGTACTTTTGTTTGTCCCTTGGCAATTTGGGCTAGGCTGACACAAAGAAACACAAGAAAAATACATAGAGGCAAAAATCTCAAAAAGTGCAAGCAGAGGCCGAGCTCCATAGAGCTCGTTGTTTTTTTCAGAGAAAATAATTTTTCAACACCTCCAAAAAACCAGAAAAAAATACATGTAGGGATATCGTTGTAGTATACGTGTATAACATTTCATGAACATATCTATTCATACGTGTTGTACACAAATAGACAGATTAAAATAGGCCTTTTCTTGTTGTGTTTGGGCTAGATATTTGTCTTGTGTAGTATGCAAATAATCAAATTAATTGATGAAATTTTATACATACTTGAAGAATATGCAGATGTATTTGTAGAATAGGTGTGTGTGTGTGTGTGTATTCGTACACCCAGGAGTACATACTCCCCTCCCTTAGCGAAGCCTTTGAGTTGGATATACCCAATAGCTAACAGGCTAACCCACAGAAAAAATGAAACATGTAACAATTTTCCTTTGAGTGTGGCGCCTAGGTGCTTGATCCTAAAATCAAGGGATTTTTCATGGCCATGGTATCGTTCCCATAACCTTCATGGTAAGTATTACACACACGTGAGGTATATGCTAACTTTGTGAGCTTTCATGTATAATTTTTGTAGTTTATATATACTACTTTTATACGATAGTATATACCTTATTTTTGTGATGGTGAAATTTTGCAATGGAGTATACACCGTTTTTTATAAAGTCGCTACCTTTTTCAATGTAGTATATACCAACAACAAAATATTAAAGTAATTTGACAGATTTATGTTGATACTATTGGTGCATCAAGAAAAGAAACCTCTGGCCCCATGAGGCCATGACCCCATATTCGCTTTGAAAGTCAAAAGGGTAAGGTGTACAGGAAATGCACATGAGACTTGTACTACTACCGATTATCAGCAGAGATCGAGGTCTTTATTTTATCGCGACAAGATTAAGAAACTTAATCATCAACATGCAATACGTTAGCTGGGATTAGTCAATAGATGATTACCCAAGTAGTGTCTTGAGTTCGTCGTCCTGGGGAATATGGCTGACCTTGCGGCGCCGATGAATATGAAGAGGAAGGATGTTGAGGTGGTGGCCAGCCATGGATTCTCCATCTTCCTGGATCCTAAGAGGATCAAACTAGAGTTGCTGCCTCCATATGGTATGGTAAGTAGTATCCTCCGCATAGCATACAATTTTGTTTCATGAGTTCTAGTTAGATTGGTAGTAAAGAACATATTAAGACTGACGCCATAGTTCGTTTATGATGCCAAGTTAGGAACTGACAGTAATTGACCTGGATAGTTAGCAGTGGTAGTACCATATCAGATATAAGATGATCCTAAGAACTTCTTGGACTTATTGGATCGAGTTAATTGCAAGGAGATACCACACTTGCGCACGTTGTGACGAGTCAGTACCGTTGCTCGTGGATGTCGCAGTTCAATACCACTATTCGGCCTAACCGTTACAAAATGGGCTGACAGACGTATAAGTGTGTATTGACCATGTATCTGACAGACCAGGCCCACCCGTCAGGCGACACGGTGGCAAATCGATGTGTGCCCGATGCGCTGACTAGGACGAGGCTGGTGCGGTCGAACCGAGCCGGATCCCACCCCGACGAACCAGACGAACCCTATCCTTTTTCTCCCCTCTCCATCTCCTCTCTCAGGCGATGGCTGCGGCGACCCCCGGCGGCGGCGGTGTCGTGGGCGGCTACGGCGACCTTCCCGGCCTTGGAAGCGATGACCACGTGAGGCTGGACTGCTCCAGGTCGTCCAACTCCACCGACGACGAGGAAGAGGAGATTAAGAAACTTAATCATCAACATGCAAAACTTAATCATCAACATGCAAAACGTTAGCTGGGATTAGTCAATAGATGATTGCACACCACGTGGTTTAAACTATTTCTGGATTTGTGAAGCCACATCAGGATCCAAGTCATCTTGCTTCGCCGGTCAACTCTTCGTTCGCATACACCATTAAGGGATCCAAGCAATCTTGGTTCACGGGTCAACTCTTCGTCCCGGACGCCATTACTGGGTAAAATCCTGTTGATTAGGATACTTCATTCGGCTATAAGTAGTTAAGTACCCAAGTAGTGTCTTGAGTTCGTCGTCCTGAGGAAGATGACTGACCTTGCGGCGCCGATGAATATGAATATGAAGAGGAAGGATGTTGAGGTGGTGGCCGGCCATGGCTTCTCCATCTTCCTTGATCCTAATAGGATCAAACTACAGCTGCTGCCTCCATATGGCATGGTAAGTATAATGTCCTCCGCAGAGGCAGCATACAATTGTGTTTCATGAGTTCTAGCTAGATTGGTAGCAAAGAACATATTAAGACTTCGGCGCCATAGTTCGTTTATGATGCCAAGTTAGGAACTGCCAGTAATTTAAGAACTTCTTGGACTTATTAGATTAGTACTACCCAACGGTTGATTAAGTCATCCACAGGATCACAGTGAAAGCATCCGGCGATCCACGTGCCAAACATAGTACCAGGATTAACTCGATTCGTTTCATGATATAAGCTTGTGTTAACTCGGTCCACTTCATATGATAAGCTTGCATTAACTCGACTCAATTCATTAGGATGGCATGATTCTCGACATGATGGAAGATGACGATCCACCGGCACGTGCTCTAACTCCTACTGCTAGTGCACCAACCATTGTCCATGACAAGGTGAACATTGTATCTGGGGGCAAATCTTCAGAGCCATCACTCAAGTTCAGTGAAGAACAGGATACTGCTGCAGCGACACCGATGGACGTCGAGGCAGAAGCCCAGCAACACCAGCCATGCCGGAATGCTCCTTTCTTTTCGGGTTAGTGACAATCATCTCAATTGTTAACATGGAAAACAGAAAGGACGGTAGTATGCTGTCTGGTGATGTTTATCCACAAAATAGGCTGGAATATATTGAATTATAATAGCTTGTGAGATGAAAGATCTTTTTTTAGCCATTTGAATTCTGAATATCCTACTGCTTGCAGGTTTCTTCTGATTTCCCGAGTGGCACTCTACTGAATTACTAAACAGTATAACAGGGCGAGCTGGGAGCCTTCACAAAGCTTTGGCGTTGCTAGCCGTACGATCGCCTGCCTGGATATCTCTTGGGCTGTTGCTCCACGGAACTATCTACTTCACCTGTGGTTGATTGGGCCTGGATTGTTTCTTGGGCCGGTGGACTAGCTTAAGCAGACAAAGTGTATATGAAACACAAACGTAAGTAGCTGTTTCCTAAATTTTGCTAAAAAAAGTTGTTTCTCAAATAAAAAATTACGTAGCTGCGTGTGAGCGGGGCATTATCTTCTGCCTTTGATAGTAATGTTGAGGCTCACAATCTTGTGAAAGTCGTGTCTTCTTTGTGGGCGGGCCATCTTGTCTGGCTAACATCTCCACCATCTATTATCTGTACTAGCCAAAGGGCCCGTGCGTTGCAACGGGAGAAAGAATATCGCACGCTCTTAATTTACAAAAAAAAGTAGTCTATAATCTGAGTATTTGTAGCTATGGTCCAAACAAAGATGGTCTTTCCCTACAAAAGCGCAACTTCAAGATTCCATATGCATTCTATTTAAACATGGCTTGCATGTAAATTTAATATATACAAAGAAAACTGGCAAGTGATCTTCAATTTTGTCTCCAATCCTGATTTTACTGAGATGTCCATCCACAATTCGGATCAGTACCAATATGAAAGAAAAACTGATAATGCATTGTTGATTAAGATTGCATCCTAGATAGTATTTTTTAATAGTTAATAGGTAAAATAACATCATATTTCGATTCTATATATTTTTCTAATTAAATTCCATATATAATATGTTAACTTTGGAGTTATGGTTTAGAAGATATGAGTATTTTTAAAAACATTTGATATGTATTATGAGTTTAATGTCAGAAACATCAGGTTTTTTTCTCTCCATAAAATAGCATGACGGACTAAGAATACCTATTTCTTTTATTAGTAGGTATAGATTCCCCAAAACATTTTGCAATAGACGGTGGTTTTAAAAAAAATTGTTGCTCGTATTGGCGTCGCAGCGTCACACAACCTTGACGCCCCACTGCCTAACTCCCTCACGTGCGCGTGGCAACAATGAGAAGGTCTACCAATATGGGAACCAAGCATCGCTAATTCTTTTTCTAGGGAAAATGACACTATTTTTTAAACAACGATAAAAAATTTGCCTCATCGATTAATTAAGCAGAAAAGATTGCCCCGTTAATTTATCTTACCAATTATGCTATTGACTATCATGTATGTTCTCTAAACCTATGTTACTTATTCATGTTTTTGTTTCCAAGATATCTTTCATAGACACTATTCATTTAAAAGGTAGAGCAATCACTTGACTAATTCTATTTCCCGAGACAATCGGAATATTACATTTTTTACCATTGTCCAATATACCGGTTAGTTCATGTAAGTTTAATTTCTATATTTTATATTTAAAAAAATTACATGATAATTCATCATTCTATCATAAAATTGACGGGCGCAGCAACGCGCGCCATCATGGTCTAGTATAATGGTGTAAGCGTGTGGCCAGCATATAGATTGAACATGTCCGTTTCATGCAGTATATTGCTAATTAATCTTTAGTACCACCTGGACTAGTAAATGTTGTTAATCTACCTTTTTAACTCTTAATTGTTATTAATCTATGGGTCCCTCTAGGGCTCATCTAGATGAGCACTTAGTGTTCATCTGAGATGACATCATTAATGTTTTGTCATGTTCCCCCTCCAACTGTCCTTTGTTTTGCAGAGAATTCCTTATTTGACCCTTTTTTAAAATTTGCTTCCCTTTTTGGCCCAACGTGGAATCTCCAACGCGCAACACTTTCATACATTCATATTCACGCTACTTCTCTTCCCTTTCTTGGTGACATATACTAGTATCAAGGGTAAAATTGTCTTTATACGTCATAATTAACACCGTTGGATGGAAAAATGGATGAAAGTGTCACATAGGGAACAAAATGGAGTTTAAGTGTTGAAAAGGGAAGAAAGAAGTTTTTTGGGCCAAAAAAAAAAACCAAAATTTAAGAAAGGGCCAAATAAGGAATTCTCTCTTTGTTTTGTGGCTGCTTTTTCTGCTTCTGCCGATATGTTGGGTGTTCCAATTGTGTTGTGCCTTTTTTTGTCTTTACTTTTCCTAGGGGATTTTTTTTGTCTTTGCTTGTACTGTTGTTTGTTCCTTGCCATTCTGGGCTGGGCTGACACAAAGAAACGCAAGAAAAATACATAGAGGCAAAAATCTCGAAAAGTGCAAGCAGAGGCTGAGCTCCATAGAGCTCTTTATTAGTTTTCAGAGAAGAAATTAAGAAAAAAGTAGCGAAATACATCAGAAAAAAGTAAGGAATTTTAAAAAGGTGAAAGAAAAATTAGAAATAAAGAGAGAAGAAACTGTGGTTACTATTGAAGAATGTAATGCTGATATTTTTTTCCAACAAAAAGTAGCAAAGAATATACATTTTCAGCGCACATGTGAAATATTTTCCAATACACTTTGAACTTTTTTCAATACAAGTTTTGAAAGATCACTTTTTTGAATACAAGGTAACATTTTCCAAATACATGTTGTATATTTTTTAATGGCAATTTTTTTAAACTACAGAACTATTTTTTATATTGTATAAACATTTCTTAAATTTCCACAGATATTTGTTGTGAACACATGAATAATTCTTTATAATGCCACCTACATTATTTTAATTGAAAGAAACATTTTTTGAACATAGTACAGATGCAGATGCTCATACACTCACTACTATGAACGCACGCACACATATCCTACCCTTATGAGCAACTCAAAGAGACTGAGCCGGCGTATCATATTGAGATTGACGAAGTCTGTACAGATGACTTTGTGGTCGATGGGAACGTCTCCTCCCACCGAACGCATATCGCCGGAAGGCCTGTAATAAATCCAGCAAACTGCGAGCACTAATGTCAACTCTAGGACTTGAACCATCGTGAGCTGGGATACCACCGTCCTCCTAACAATTCAACCATAAATTTGTTTGCATTGAACTTACAAAAACGTTTATTTTTACATTCAACATTGGTGGGCTGGGGATAACATTTTTTTTTGAACCTACGATAAGTTTTTTTACATCGTATAAACATATTTTAAGACATTATGAACATTTTTTGAATCATTGGAATTTTTATTTAAATACTCATAAATATTTTAATGGTACAATTTTTTTAAAAAAATATGCATTTTTTACATCATATACACCATTTTCTAGAAATGCCACAAACACATTTTTGAAACTTGTCAACGTTTCATGAAATGTAACGTACATCCTTTTGAATGTACAAAACTTTTTTTTTCAATTACGTGATCAATTTTAGAAAAATTTATAAATATTGTTAATATACCTGATTTTTAAATGTCACAAAAAAATTATATGTCATGTACATTTTTTACACATGTGACATTTTCTAAATGTCATAAACATTTTTCTATACAGATCTTAACATTTTTTAATTGCATGATTATTTTCTAAAATTTATGCAAAGTAATTTATTGTAATATATATATTTAGAAAATATAAATACAATTTATAAAAGAATTTTTTTTAATAAAAAATGAAAGCAGAAACAAAAACGAACGTGACATTAAATTGCGCACGGTTACTGGGCCGGCCCTATAAGGGCTCACTGCAGGTGAGCCCTGGTAGGACTCGCAGCGGACGGCACATAGCTGCATCCTCTCCAGATGGCTGATTAGTTCGAAATGACTATTTAAGTTGTACCCCTTGCAAAGGTTACTCCACCTTCTCATGTGCTGACAATTGGTGCACTGTGCCACTTGTTACAACTTGAATTTTTTTTTTTATGGATTCATTTGTTCAAAATGTTTTATATCTTGAGTTGTGCATCCAAATCTCGAACCATTTTTACTGTTGGATTTCTCATGTCGAGATTTCGAAACTAGATGTTGTGTTAATAGGTTTTGACGAACTTGTTTTCACGAAAATTGAAAACTGAAAGAAAAAGAACCGGAGCTAGAAACACGTTTTTATCTTTCCCCTTTTTCCCTTTCCGAGAAGCACATTGTACTTCTCGCGAAAGCAAATCCGTGCCTCTGTGCTTCTCTTGGAATACAAAAAATCACATTTTTTTTCTTTCCGAGAAGCACAGTTGTGTTTTTCATGAAAGCAAATATATGCCTCAACGAGAAGCAAATCTATGGTTTTGATGGAAGCAAAAAAAAAAAAATCACGTTTTTCCCTTTTCGAGAAGCACAACCTCCACGAAAAGTAAATATGTGCTTCTCGTGGAAGCAAAAAAATGTGTTCTTTTCTGTGCCTCCATGGAAGTAATCTATGTTTCTCATGAAAGCATTAAATAATATTATTTTCTAATTTTATTTCTCCGAAACCTAGGAAAACCTGGGAAAACTAAACCCCGCAAAAAGGGGGAAAACCAATCTAAAACCCAAAACCACGTACAGAAAAATAAAAAATAAAATCCTAAGGGAACACCTATCACTTGACACTTGGTGGAGGCTTGATGCACCACTTGACACACTCTCGGCCTAAAAATGACGCTTGCTGGGCTCTGAAGGGGTATCCCTTGACTAGTTGCTCTCTGATTAACTAGAGATGATACCCCGCACGTTGCAGCGGAAATTGGATGTAGTTATTTCTATGCGATTTGGTTGTTTGAAACTTTATTATTTGGATTAGTAATATAAAAATTAAAACAAAATACATATAATTGTAAAACGTATTATTTTATTTATTAAAAGTAACATACCTGGTGCAAGTTATGGTGGGCCTTTTCTATGCATGATGGTATGGTAGTTGGCATAGTTGCATGTTGTAAGAATTAATTTAGTGGGACATGCACGATGACATAAATGATTTGTCATAGTCACATGTCAAAATAATTGACTTACCGCTGATCAACTATATTTAGTTTTTTTCGAGCAAAAATGCTAGGTTTTATTGATCAACCCTAATGTTTACAGGTACAGCAATAGGATCATGAGGAAATCCTAGCCAAATATGTCTCCCTTGTGGAAGAGAGACACCAAACCTAGCAAGTCTATGAGCTTCCACATTGGAAATTCTAGATTCAAAATAGAAATTACATGCTCAAAAAATCTAAAGCTTTCTACAACCTCTTTGATGATTCCTCCATCCTCTCCTCCGACTCCTTGATGGATATGGTTGACAACTTGCTGACAATATGAAGCTATTTGAATATTCTACACTCCCAAATCTTGAGCAAGAGCCAGCGCCTCCCTACATGCAAGAGCTTCTAACACTGCCGGATTGAGAAGACCTTGTACTGCCAACAAAGATGATACAAGATATGCTCCTTCCTGACTCCGGCAGACTGCAGCCGCTGCCCTCGTATTGTGATGGACTGACATCCCAACATTTACATTAATCTTGACGTGACCATCCTTTAGCGCAATCCATTTTCCCCTTGGCTAGCCTGACAGACTCGTTCTTACTTGTGGTACCGAAGAATGGCTTAGTTGATCGAGCTCGGAGATAAATCTCTTGACAAACGAATATGTTTCATATGGGCTCTGGCTAATGGACTCATGAATCAACTATATTTAGTACTCCCTCAGTCCGGAAATACTTAGGCCTTCTTTGGTTTAGAGGAATCTTGTAGGAATTTCATAGGATATGATTTCTATAGGAAAAATTCCTTTAGAGCCTTTTGGATCCTATTCCTATGGAAGGATTCTTCCTATCCTCCACAATTCATAGGAAAATAAACATTAGCCTAGACTCAATGGAAAAAATCCTATGATGTGAATCAAAGGGCATCTCCTTTCCTATTCCTACTCATAGGATGTGAGATACATGTCATCTTATTTTCTATGACTTTCCTATTCCTACGATTTTTCTACCGTATGAACCAAAGGAGGCCTTATCGGAGTTATAGGATTCCTAATATTTTTTTTAGGGCTTATAGGATTCCTAATAGAAAAGACCCATTCTGTCCATCTACAGTGGGCCATTCCAACTTCGAAAGCCCAAATCAACAAACCAACACAGCCGCAACCTGATCGCGTTATCCATCCCGCGGCACTGACATTCCTCGCCCCGAGCGACAGGAATGGCCGGCGCAACCATGGCCACCGCCACCGTCACGGCCGCGTCGCCGCTCCGCGGCAGGGTCACCGGGCGCCCACGCCGCGTCCGCACGCGTTGCGCGGCCGCGAGCGGCGCGACCGAGACTCCGGCGGCGCCCGGCGTGCGGCTGTCCGCGGAATGCGTCATCGTGGGCGCCGGCATCAGCGGCCTCTGCACCGCGCAGGCGCTGGCCACCCGATACGGCGTCAGCGACCTGCTCGTCACAGAGGCCCGCGACCGCCCGGGCGGCAACATCACCACCGTCGAGCGCCCCGACGAGGGGTACCTGTGGGAGGAGGGGCCCAACAGCTTCCAGCCCTCCGACCCGGTCCTCACCATGGCCGTACGCTTCTTGCTCGCTTCTCCGACTGTGATTGTTCGAGACATTCGCGTACAGAATGATGTAAGCGCTGGATTGGTTATCGCGCAGGTGGACAGCGGGCTCAAGGATGACTTGGTGTTCGGGGACCCCAACGCGCCCCGGTTCGTGCTGTGGGAGGGGAAGCTGAGGCCGGTGCCGTCCAAGCCAGGCGACCTTCCGTTCTTCAGCCTCATGAGCATCCCCGGGAAGCTCAGGGCCGGCCTTGGCGCCCTCGGCATTCGCCCACCTCCTCCAGTGTGTGCTGCATTCTTGATTCTTTTCTGAATTTGTTGCTTTGCCGTCAGCATTGATGGGCCTGAGCGTCTCCGGCGAAGGTTTCAGGGGCGCGAGGAGTCGGTGGAGGAGTTTGTGCGCCGCAACCTCGGCGCCGAGGTCTTTGAGCGCCTCATTGAACCTTTCTGCTCAGGTCTTCCCTTATTATAATGCGCAATGCCTGTTTGTTACATATAGTCTTCTTGTTGCGTGCAACGACTGTGATAGCTAGGAATGTAACATTTCGATATTAACATTAAGGTGTATATGCTGGTGATCCTTCGAAGCTCAGTATGAAGGCTGCATTTGGGAAGGTCTGGAGGTTGGAGGAGATTGGAGGTAGTATTATTGGTGGAACCATCAAGGCAATTCAGGATAAAGGGAAGAACCCCAAACCGCCAAGGGATCCGTAAGTGAAGACCAAACTTTTTTTTATTTGGTCAGTTAACTGTTCCGTTGTACTAACCTGTTTTCACCACTTTTAGCCGGCTTCCGGCACCAAAGGGACAGACGGTGGCATCTTTCAGGAAGGGTCTAGCCATGCTCCCGAATGCTATCGCATCTAGGTTTGTTATCGTTACTTTGTGCAATTATGAATTTCTGTCATTATCAATACAAGTTGTTTGGTGTTTCGGTGTGGGCCTTGTGCCGTTGTACGTAGACATGATCATGAACCAGCAATGATGTAATCCTAGGTGTCACTTAACCATGTTCTGTTCTGTATTTCCTTCTTTTCCAGGTTGGGTAGTAAAGTCAAGCTGTCATGGAAGCTTACGAGCATTACAAAGGCGGACAACCAAGGATATGTATTAGGTTATGAAACACCAGAAGGACTTGTTTCAGTGCAGGCTAAAAGTGTTATCATGACCATCCCGTCATATGTTGCTAGTGATATCTTGCGCCCACTTTCAGTAAGTGCTTCTATAATTAAAATTCATGTTTTTAAAATACATTGGGCCATTGTGCCCACTTTCTGTAAGTGATCCTCCCTGTTTGTTTGCTAGGAAACATGGAATGTTGCACTAGTACATTTCCACTAAATAGACTTGCCAAAAAATATGACTGCATCTTAACAGCCATTTCCTTTAATCTTGGTGTAACGCGTTATTGCGATTTTTTGCAGGAAGTTGTGATTTTTCAGATTATAATTATATCAGGATTGCATTGATCAAACTGTTTGCTGATTCACAAGTCGTACTATATCTTCAACAACCAAACTCTACGTTTTCAAAGAACTAAATTTACAATAATTATATGTTCTGAAAGTTGTATCTGGTTTGGACAAAATGAGACAAGACATAAGTATGCGTTATACTACATATTAAAAGAAGATTTTTAGTAGAAAACAAATTTCGACAGAGAAATGGAAAATATAAAGCCCATAGGACCTAAGTTCCTCAGCATTTTAGAAGCCTCAGCATTAAGCACAAATAAGATGCCTTAATGTTTTATTTCTCCTTTCACTTTGCTATCTTAATTGAACCTGACAAGCCACGCCATGCTGTTCTTAATGCATATCTTACAAGGTGCACTAGATTACTTTACGTGATATTTGCTATTTTCCCTACACACTAGATAGCCTGCCCTATCATGTATGTTTTTATGACCATCTTTTCTACGTGGCATGGAACATGCTTATTTCTTCCTGGACAGAACAATTCCAAGCAGTAACTTTATTTCACATTGCTTAGGTTTTCTAAAGTAGTCTAACCATACTTCCTCCTGTCATCCTATGTTCATTGAACCCCTCCTGCAGATTGATGCAGCAGATGCACTCTCAAAATTCTATTATCCGCCAGTTGCTGCTGTAACTGTTTCATATCCAAAAGAAGCTATTAGAAAAGAATGCTTAATTGATGGGGAGCTCCAGGGTTTCGGCCAGTTGCATCCACGTAGCCAAGGAGTCGAGACTTTAGGTATCTCGATCGGGAATAGATTCTTAGCTTCAAACAACTACAAACATTACTCTTGCTTCTTTGTTTGCATTTATCTTGTCAGTGATTACTAATTAGTTGTGTCTTGTATCTAGGGACAATATATAGCTCTTCTCTCTTTCCTAATCGTGCTCCTGCTGGAAGAGTGTTACTTCTGAACTATATCGGGGGTTCTACAAATACAGGGATCGTCTCCAAGGTTCTCTCGACCTGCCTGATCCTCCTGTCATTCTCTTATTACAATGATATATTCTTACAGTATTCAGTTTGTGTTGATCACCTATTCCTTCCTTTGGAATTAATGTAAACAATTTGACTGCATATTTCACCACCAGCTGCAATTATGAAATTATGGTAGATGTGAACCACTTGTTAGGTGCTACATTCAGTTGTGATGGTATTTTTAGATTGCTTGTTACTGATTGTATTTCTGTTGATCCTATTCTATTTGCAGACCGAGAGTGACTTAGTAGAAGCCGTTGACCGTGATCTCAGAAAAATGTTGATAAACCCTAGAGCAGCAGACCCTTTAGCATTAGGGGTTCGAGTGTGGCCACAAGCAATACCACAGTTTTTGATCGGGCACCTTGATCGCCTTGCTGCTGCAAAATCTGCACTGGGCCGAGGCGGCTACGACGGGCTGTTCCTAGGAGGAAACTACGTAGCAGGAGTTGCCTTGGGCCGATGCATCGAGGGTGCGTACGAGAGTGCCTCACAAGTATCTGACTTCTTGACCAAGTATGCCTACAAGTGATGGAAGTAGTGCATCTCTTCATTTTGTTGCATATATGAGGTGAGGCTAGGATCGGTAAAACATCATGAGATTCTGTAGTGTTTCTTTAATTGAAAAACAAATTTTAGTAATGCAATATGCGCTCTTTCCTGTAGTTCGAGCATGTACATCGGTATGGGATAAAGTAGAATAAGTTATTCTGCAAAAGCAGTGATTTTTTGTGAAGATTTTCTTGTATGCTAAGTAGTACTCCCTCTTATATTTCTTTACGGAGGGAGTAGATCGCTTCAGTGTGCTGAACAACAATTTCCGCGGGATTTTACATAGCGCCATCGATTTCTTTGATTAAACTTCGACAATAAATTTCACCAACAAGATATAATTTATAAAATTATATTGATATTTTACTACGAAATGAATGGGATTTTTTTTTTGACACGTAATCCCTGTTTTGTTGATCAAATTCATGGTCAAAGCTGATCCTTAAAATACGTGTGCCATGTACATATGGACAACGGGAGCATATAAAAAAAATATCCTCAGTGAATTTCTTAACACTATTTTGATGGAACCATATAACAGAGAGAGCATTTGATATGTTTGGGATCCTCTGCTATAACATCAAACCATATATGACCAAGATTATACAACTGCACTATTACTGTCTCATTATGATGAAATCAGGGATTCAAAAATTTATTGTTTGTCAAGTTAGTCATGGTGCTCGTGCAAGTTCCGCCCCATCGAGGTCTGCATCCATGCCCTTCAAGGTCGTCACCTCGTCATTGTGACCAAGAGAGTTTGAAGATTTTTGATAGTGGCCCGAAGAATTTGACAACTGTTGAATGGACATACCAGATCGACCGATACCTCTTCACGGTATGAAGATCATGTGGCCCAAGTTCAAGTGGTAGATGGCCATCACTTTTCGCGCGCAACATTGTCAATTTTCTACTCCCGCTATAAACTACTGCAAAATCGTCTTATATTAGTGCACAGAGGTAATATCTCTGAAGCTGTCGTTCCATTTCCGTTTTACTATGTCGCCTACGCTGAGTTATAAAGCCAGGAATGTAACTAGTGAGATCCATCAAACACTTCACCTTGATACAAGAAACCTAGCGTCGCTAGTTGGTTAGGCGTCTCTCACCACTTTCTCTGAATTTCTCACCTCGATCATGCTCCAAATTTAGCAAATGATTGAGGATTTCTAGTATAGGTTGTGACAAAAGTGATATTAGAGCAGTGAAACTGGTCTTAGTTCTTCATCCTTGTGGTAGATCTGGCGAGGGTTTGAGGACCTCTTCCCTTGCAAAATTTCGCAACCGGTCCGCACAAGTTCAGAACTAGGGCGGTACTATGGAGACATTGGGTGCTTGGTTTTGGAGAACTGGCTGGAAGAAAACCCTGGTCATCTAGTGAAATCCTAGATCTCCAACTTCCTTAATTAGTTGGGCAATTGGGAAAACCACAAATCAAACTAGAAGCGATGGTGACAGTGCCATTATCTATATCACCAAGGAGGAACTTCAGGCCATGGGAGCTGGACTTCAGAAGAAGTTGGATGATTTTGCCAGAATGGCGCGTTTCTCGACATGATGGAAAATGATGAACCACTTGTACATGCTCTAACTGCTACTGCTACTGCTACTGCCAGTGCGCCAACATTTTCCATCACAAGGTGAACACTGTATCTCGGGGAAAATCTTCAGAGCCACCACTCAAGTTCAGCAAAGAACAGGATACTGCCACAACGGCGCAGATGGAGATGGACGTCGAGACGGAAGCCCAACAGCATTATTTTCAGGTTAGTGACAATCCTCTCAGTTGTTAACATTGTTCATGGGAAAACAAAGAAGACGGTAGCCTGCTGCCTGCTGCAGTTCATCTGCAAAACAGCCTGGATTATATTGAACTCTAATATCATGCGAGATGAAAGAGATCTTCATTTGACCAAGTAAATTCTGAATATCCTACCGATTGCAGGTTTCTTCTGACTTCCGAGACCAAAATAGCCTGGATTATGCTGTAAGCGTGTGGCCAGCATGGATTGAACAGTGTAATGTTAATCTTTAGCACTACATAGACCAGTAAATATTGTCATTCTTTTAATTGTCTGAACTCTTAAGTGTTGTTAATCTGAATATGCTGATGTAAAGTGTGTTGCCGCGCCTGTCAATCTTTAGGAAAGAACAAATAGAAACATATGGCTTTTTTCAACAAAATACGTAAGACGATATGCCTCAATATAAACCATGGAGCGTTTATCTTTTAACATCTAGCCAACTCGAGAGCATACACAATTTTCCTTTTTAGTGAACTGCTAGCTTTATTTATATCGATAGTATGCACAATTAGACATGGCAAATAAGGACAACCATTAGTTGTACTATTAACTGTGATTCATATAACTGGAAACAGATCTTAGAATGAATTTTAGAATGTACATATGCAGTTTTATTATGTCTGCTTTAAAATATACCATATGAATTGATGATTAAGATGCTGCCCGCGATTGTTCTACCATCTTCACCGGCTGTCGCACTGTTATGACCGGTTTAGCTTACGGCCGTAGAAAGCCCATCGGGCAATCTTAGCCCACAAATTATATTAGATTAATTCGTATGCAAGTTATCTAGGTTATAAATATATGTTGTAAGACTCTTTTTGAGATGAAGCAATAAAAATATTATTATCCCTATTGCCCGGCTCTCAGAGGAGCCGGAACCCTAGCCGCCTCTAACCCTAGCCGCCGCCGCCATCTTCCTCCTACGTGACGGCGCCCAGCCGCCGACGCGCCCGCTCATCGCCTCGCCCCGCTCCATCCTTCCCCTACAACCTACGGAGCAGGTCCGGTAGGATCCCTGGTTGTACCAATTTGGTATACAGAGACTCGGTTGCGATCATGTCATCATCATCATTCACGCCAACGCTGCCCCGCGGCACCACCGCCCCAATGACCACTGCCGAGTCCCCAACGCCGCCGGCCCCGATCACCTCCGCTCCACCGACCCCTGTCACTTCCGCGCCGCCGACAACCTCCGTCTTCACGCCGGAGGAGATGACCAGCATCCTGCGGGACCTCGTGACGGCCGTCCAGGGCATCTCCCTATACCTGGCCAGCCCGTACACCACCCCGCTGGCTGCGCCCCCTGCCTACAGCCACCCGGCGACGCACTGGCCAATCCAGGCCACGTCTGGCCCGAGCGGACCGCCCCTGCTGCCGTTCCAGGCGGGCTACACCAGCGGGCCTCCACCGCTGCTCCACCTCCAGCAGTCCCCAGTCGCGGGCCAGCTCTGGCCGCCGTGGCCGCCGACTTCTACACCGGTTTCCGCCATGTTTGGCCGCTACCCACAGCAGACGCAACAGCCGCTGCAGCTCCAGGCGCCACCTCTGCCCAGCGCCGGACTGTCGTCCGCCGCTCCGACCGGCCTGCCAATACACCAGGTCCGGTTTCCACCCTCTCCGTCGCCATTACCAGCGTGGGCGGCTGGGTCTTCGCCATTACCGGTCTACACCACGTCTCTAGAACAGCCGACACCGTTCCCGCAGTTCGGCGGGCCATCCGGCTCCGCGGGTCCCTACCTGGAGTACTCTGACCAGGCGCCACCCGCCTCGCTACTCCGCCCCTCAGAGCCCTCTCGACACGGCGCTCCGACGCAGACACCGCCACGGTTCGCCAAGATCGACTTCGCCACCTATGACAGCACGGAGGACCCCCTCAACTGGCT